ACCAACAACCACTGATCAGTAACCATGAGTCCCATTCACAGAGAGTTGGGGAATGGCTGCAATCACAGCATGTAAGATGGTGACAGATGTACCCTTAGGCCCCTCCTCGATTCAGAGATGGTCTTTACCTTTTCACGTGAATCGCCTCCTTGACTCCGCCCTCAAACCAGCGTTCCTCCTGACCTCACAGCCCGTTGTTGAATGGTACTCATGGTCATTGATCAGTGGTCAAGAAATGTTTCTCCTGCTGAAAACATCCAGATGAACAGAATGAACTTTTGGGATTGACTTACCTGGATGATTGAGCATGCATCAAGACATAACTGCATTATGTGTGGCAGTGGCTTGGAGTCCAGAAAGCATTATATGCCAGCTCAAATATTACAGTCAGCATTCATACTAAATCCCATGCCAGGTGAGCATGTCTACACCTGAACAACAGATACCCCGTGCCAGGTGATCATACTGATGCCAGCGGGCTTCCTTAATCACTGGGCACCATCTTACCCACAATCCACTTGGCCTGGCTGCGCCCCATCTGCACTGGCTGCTCCCTTTATACTGGAGTGCAGCCAACAGAGCAGACCACAGCCACACAGTCTGCTGCTACATGTTCTAGAGTTACCTCGGCTTTTATCACTAAAGCTCACAAAAGGATCGGTTCGTTTCCTGCCACTACATCTGATCTGTTACAGTGAAACAGCTTCTATAATACATCTATGTATCTGTACGATCATAAGGACACATTTACTGTATATGACACCACTGCCATCTGCTGACTAAACACATGAACTGCAGCATCACGTAACCACAGCCAGGTTTCTCCTACAGGATCATATATATTATTACCCCTTTGTCTGTGTTCAGAGTATGAAATGCTGTCATGCTGATAACCAGAGTGTCACAAACAGGAGAAGAACTTCAGTTCTTACGACTGATTAAACACAGAGCATCTAAGACCTTGTCTTCCAGTAACACCAGCATACTTCCTTCAACGTGCACATTAAGCACATGTGCAATATTTATGCTGAAAAGCGAGTCCGTTCATTACTCGACTGGGTTACTGTAAATCATTATTATCAGGCTGCTCTTTGTGTTGTTATATCACTGCTGCATCATTAGTGACTGATGGAGTTTTAATGTTGTGGGGCAGGGGTGTCCAACCCCAGGCCTGGAGGGCCGGTGTCCTGCAGGTTTGAGATCTCACCCTGGGTCAGCACACCTGAATCACATGATTAGTTCATCACCAGGCCTCTGGAGAACTTCAGGACATGTTGAGGAGGTCATTTAGATCAGCTGTGTTGGATCAGGGACACATCTAAAACCTGCAGGACACCGGCCCTCCAGGCCTGGGGTTGGACACCCCTACTGTAGGGTCTTCACCCTATGAAGTGCTGTAAGTCAGCTGTTATAGTGAGCTGTTGGTATACACAGTCAACTGAAGTGAATGAAACCGGTCATTCTGTTTCATGTTATTGTGTGAATGCCGTGGCCTCTTTATTCTTTCTTCTACCTTATTATTCTAGCTGCTCCGACCTTTGCTGGTTAACTCCTCCCTCAGTTTTCATCCGATTTTCACCATTCAAACTTTAAACTGTTCTGCTCCTTCTGCTGATGCCTACTATATCTTTTGGTGCTCATAACTTTTATACTTTTTGAGATACTAAGCTTTTTATGCCATTTTTGGCCCATTTTGCTGACAGGGACCACACTATCAGTGTGATCACCAGTTTTGCTTGCTGGGCTGTGTTTTAGCTCAGTGAGATGAGCAGCGGCTCTCAGAGCAGGAGGGCCCGTTCGAATCCCGCTTATGGCAACATTTCCAGAGTGGAAACATTTCCACTCTGGAAATGTTTCCACTCTGGAAATGTTGCTTTCACTCTTTCACTCTTTCACTCCTCTTTCAAACCAGGAGTGAAAGAAGCATCTATGTCCACTGTGAGCGACCATCTTTGAACAGAGGCGGGGTTTACGACACCAACTCTCTGCCATCTATAATCCAGTTTTGAGATCCCTTCCCAGACGCCTTAACGCCCACTCACATCCTGGGCCATCTGACCTCAGGAAATCACATGATAGGGTGGGGCCAGGTTTCACAATGAACACACCCGAAACTCTGGCTGATTGTGACCCACACCCAGTTTCACACCTTGGCTCAGGCGATTAGAGGATCATCAGGGGTCCTTTTGTCCCTCTGTGGGGGGAAACTCCCACTAGGTTTATATCTGGGACTCTCCACCATTTGACCTTAGAACTGAAGAAGCTTCTCGGATGAGAGGTGAAACGTCTTCAAGCAACTTAAAGAAGTCCAGACGCTTTTCTTTGCAAGCTCCTTTGACTACGATGACCTGGATGACTGAGAACCTTCACAGACATACTGACGCAGTATTTTCACCTTTTCTTACTGTAACACAGCATTTTCTAAACTCTTGGAAGAATAACATCAGAATGTTTTCTCATGTGTTTGGTGTCACCAGCCTTTAAAGAACAGGCTGTGCTTCAAACCTCTTCTTCAACCTTCAGATGGGTGGAAGAACTCAGACTGTGACATCAGCAGAACCTAAACTACAGTGTGAAGCTGTGCTGGGTGAACTGGTCAGAGCCATTATAGGCCTGGGATCGTTGGCCAATGTCAGGAAGCAACTTCAATGATCAAATATACATTGAGCAGCTGGCCAGATGGGCATTGTTCCTGACGTTCCTCTATCCTAAGTACAAAAGCAAACATGTTTTCAGAAAAGAACACGTTAAAGAGTTAAAGTGTGAGCTGTGGGCGTGTTTGGGACTCTGCAGCCGAGCTCTTAGACAGACAGAGCAGCTGAGTGTGTTTGGACATGGCAAACCACAGTGAAGCATCTCTTTAACCCAAGGGTGTGCTCTCAGGCGGTTAGAGGGTCTTGTATGTGATTGTAGTGTTCGTGAGAAAGTTCGTCAGCCTACTGATAGCAGCGCATCGATTCACTCAGTAAAGGAACACGTCTGTGTCCTGAGTGTGCAGAACCCCACCCAGCAGGGAAGCACCAAACGAAGCTGACCGCCCCGACGCGCTGTGGTAGACGTCGATCCAGAGCCCCCGTGTGCAGCACAGTGTGGACGGAGGGGAACTCTGTGCCGGGGCAATAATGAGGACTGAAGGTGGGCCAGCCTGAGGTCAGATCAAAGCCTGTGAGCTGAGAGGACATGGCGTTTGAATCTCTCTGATCTTATTTTATCAGCCTTTCCTCTGCTGTGTGAAGCTGTCGACTCCAGAGACAATTATTAGATCAAACTTCAGTGTTGACAGCTCACATCAACTCTGAAATGACTTCTACAAGCACAGGCGCCTCACTTCCTGTGAAAGCTCTGAGTGTGCTGACAGCAGTACAGAGAATGTAACATCTATACAGGCTCATGTAAGTGAACACACACTGATCTGAACACTATAATTATTACAATCAGTACTGTCAGCTGCACACTCCTGCCCTGCATGCTCACATGCTCCCTGCTCTCCTCTATCTTTGCCTGACAGCAGTGAAGCGCACCGTAGGCGCCTGGGCTCATCCTTCATGTACATCTTATTCTTTATGATGTTTGATTCGACAGAGGTGTTCGGTCAGGTGGCCTTCTTCATCTATGTGACCTGGGAGTGCCGGGTCCACTGGCTGTGGCCCCCTGTGGCTACATGAGGTGTGGAAACTCAGCAGAATTTGGTTCTTGTCCTTAAAATGTGAAGCTTTCATAAAGACAAAGGTTTGCTGTTGTTAAAGCTCATTAATGTTAATCCTGAAACCTGATTATGTGCTTATGCGTTGACCATGGGACAGTCTGTGCCTCAGATGCCCTCTAGTGGGAAAAAGGAACTACAAGCAGATTAACTCTGACTCTTTTGAATGTATTAGAGGACTTATACATCATTTATTACTGGGCTGGAAACTACACAAACATTAGGCTCTCATTACAAGGCAATACATCCATACAGCTACTCTGTGGCTGCAAAACACACAGATCACAGCCGCTATCCAGTATAGGAACAGCAGGAATATGACAGGCACACAACAGGAAGACATGCTGCATGTATGCAGGTCACAGAAACGTAGAACAAGGCTCCAAAGATCACACATTAGAGAAGAACAAAGCTGTCCAATCACTGTTGTTCTTTAGCGTCCACATGAACCTGCTGCTGCATGTCCTCAGTGCTGTAACCTCAATACAGAAGGTTTATACACAAAGCACTGGGCTGATCAGCATCCACCACAGCTAGTTACGTCATATGAGACATAATAATCAATCGTGATCATTGACACACTGTTAGCTGCCAGCCTGAGGCAGTGCGTGCTCTGTTAGGACACAGACACTGGTCAGCACCGCTGATGACTCCTCACACAGCTGGGACAGGCTTACCAATGCTCTATAACACACAGCTAAGTTTCTTCTGAGTGGACGAACATGACAAAGTGCTGTTTGATAGCTGCTGTTGGCGAACACCACACAAACTCCTCTAAATCCGATGTGATGCAGTTCCGGCGCTCACGGCCATACCTGCCTCGCTGTGCGCACAGGCTGCAGACCCGGGCCTAAGTTGAAGCCCTTTAAATGTCCTCGTTCGGTCGTCCTCTGCAATGACACCTCCTCTCCCACATCACACAAAGGCCTCTGCAGATGCACACAGCCAGGCTGGGACGCTCAGCTCCGCAGACTATCTTTATTTGCAATTTGCGCAGAGCAGCAGAAATCCCACAAAACCGCAGCATCATCCAGAAAAAGCGCAGAGAGAAGCGCGGTGGGGGTGGGGGGGTATCTGGCGCACCGAGTGGCCGGTAAACGATGCAAATTACGTGTAAACTGCGCTCCGAGCCCCTGGGACGTGGCTCAGGCTGCAGCATTTTTCACATCATCGGTTCTCCTCGGGATCCAGTGCGGCCGGAACCAGGACACCACCCGATGCGTCAGCGCTATGGGAGCCACGACTATGCCCATCATAGAGCCTCCATCACGGTGGAAAGTACAAACGGTCCGCTTACCTGCGATTGTCAGCCGCTCCACTTTCCGCTTCACCACCGGGCACCGTCAGCTCGGCATCAGAAAACTATCCACCTCCTCCTCTGTGCTCTTTCTCGTTAATGCAGTGCAGGGCTCTCCTCCGGCTCGCTCCCTCTCCGTTGTAGTCTCCGCACCTCCTCCCTCCTTGTCTGCGCTCTCTCGGGTCTGCTAGCGAGCATCCGGGTGTGCAGATGTGTGCACATGGAGCTGATGGGCAGGTGGTGGAGCTGGAGGACAAAGAAAAGAGGGAGAATTCAAAGTGCAAAAGAGGAGAGAGGTTTGATTTTTGTGACAGGGTTCAAGCAAAAACTAGGCGCGTGCATGTGCTGGCTTTATTCTACTTTGACAGTTTGTAGGGCAGTCAAAGGAAAACATTTACGTTTTAGAAGCTTTTGCTATAATGGACATGCAGAATGATAAGAAACGTCAGATACAACCCCCATACATCTCTACACACCGCAGCAGCAAGCGGCACGGCTTGAAGTAACGCTGTATGGCAGTGCTGTCATTTTGGCCTTCAAATCAATCTGCTGAGCTTGAAGGAGAGGTCAAAGGTCAAATGGGATAGAGTAGACCTGTAAGAATCAGCAGCTCTTTAGTGGGCTGGACGCAGATGTGTGAGGCTCTGTGATGTAACTGTGAAGCTGAACACCTTCATCTTCTGTCAGTGCGGCAGCAGCCCGGGTGGCTAACACACTGTCGTCTGTGTTAGCTAACTAGTGACAGCATCCATAACTGAGTGACTCACTGAAACTGAGAATAGGTGTGAGGGCGTGGCTTTAGTGCCGCAACAGTGAGTCCATGTTAAGACAACATTAACACAGGTAAGCTGGGCAACTTAAACAAAGCTGTGCACCATTGCTCACATGAGAGCACAGGTGTAGACCACTAAGTGCCTGGAAATATTTGTTTTTGTATGTCAATCATTGTGGAACTAAAGTCGTGAGTCAGTGAGCATTTTATTCAGTGCCAGAGAAAGTGAGAAGCACTGAACCTTGAGGTGGACACTGATCCTCGCAGCTGCAGGAATACCAGCCCATAAAACGCAGCATCTTAATATCCATGCAATACGTGATGGTGCTGTCAGGGAGCTGTTACAAGGACCAAACCAATGACACTGAACCAGCTGACCTCCACAGAGCCCCCGTACATCACATCATTCATTTATTTCAGCCTCTACACATGACTCAAGGTTCAGCACTGCAACTCTTTAGGAAGTCTGACACGTTGTGTTGTATTTGTAGACGCTAAAAAAGTAAGTGGATACACAGTTTTATGGGCTCTGCATAGAACTGCAGTGCATTCTGGGTGTTCAACCAAAACCAGGACCGATGCCAACAGCCAACAAAGAGGGAAATATACCAGTGAAGTCTGACACACAGTGTGACGCTAACGATGAGGAACGTTCTTAGAAGAAATTCAGAGTGATGGGAACATAAGGTGCCTCGATTTATAGGAAACACCATACTGTGCTATACTCGTGACCCGTCACCTGCAAACAAGGGCACAGTTATAAACCAGTTCCAGCTCTCATGGAGACGTGGTGGAGCCAGTCAGGCACCACTGGTTCTGTAATACATGCAGAGCATCTCCTCACCCTGGACTCAAAGTCAGCGTCACTGTCCTGTGTACAGTCATACACAGAATCTGAAGCCCTCAGTGGACACTAAAACAATATAAAGACTCACTCTTTTTACAGTTTATTTTACACAATAGTTCATATTCTGCTGTGATCAGTTTACTTGTTTATATTTTTACATCCCATTGCACATATTTAATAGTATTTAATACTGCAATGTAGTAGTTTCGACATTTATTACAGCAGTGTTTGTGTTTGCATACATCCTTCACATTACTGCCACCTTCTGGCTGCAGTCAGCAAAATCCTGCTCCTCACATACAAGGTCTTAAATAATCAGGCCCCATCTTATCTCAATGACCTTGTAGTACCATATCACCCTATTAGAGCACTTCACTCTCGCTCTGCAGGCCTACTTGTTGTTCCTAGAGTATTTAAAAGTAGAATGGGAGGCAGAGCCTTCAGTTTTCAGGCCCCTCTTCTGTGGAACCAGCTTCCAGTTTGGATTCAGGAGACAGACACTATCTCTACTTTCAAGATTAGGCTTCAAACTTTCTTTTTGCTAAAGCATATAGTTAGGGCTGGACCAGGTGACCCTGAATCCTCCCTTAGTTATGCTGCAATAGATGTAGGCTGCCGGGGGATTCCCATGATGCACTGGGTGTTTCTTCTTCACTCACTATGTATTAACAGACCTCTCTGCATTGAATCATATCTGTTATTAACCTCTGTCTCTCTTCCACAGCACGTCTTTATCCTGTCTTCCTTCTCTCACCCCAACCAATCACAGCAGATGGCCCCGCCCCTCCCTGAGCCTGGTTCTGCCGGTTTCTTCCTGTTAAAAGGGAGTTTTTCCTTCCCACTGTCGCCAAAGTGCTGCTCATCTTATTGTAGGGTCATCACCTTACAGTATAAGGTGCAGTGAGGTGACTGTGGTGATTTGGTGCTACATAAATACAAAGCGACCCGAGAGCTGACAAAGCTCCGTCACTGCTGGTTTTCAGTCAGATCTGGGGTGCAGCTGGTCCATGGACAGCTTACACAGTGGGGTATGTGTGAGTATGTGTGAGCCGAACCTTCACCCCTGCTGAGCATCCATGCAGGCAGGGGCGGGACTTTGTTTCGATGGGCACACCAGGCAGCCAATCACATGCAAAGACAGACTGGGATCATACCATTATGTGAAAGAAGAAAGGGGGGCAGACGTTCTGAAGACGGGGAGTGTAGCGGTCCAAGTCCACAGAGAGACGGGGAGCTGGGTAAAGTCATTTTCCACTGTGGAGGACAAACACTTTCAAACTTGTCCATCACAGCAACACAAACTGCCTCCTTTAAAAAGACTCGATGTGCAGTTCAGTATTGACAGTGACATCACATGAAGTGCATATAAAGTGTGTCTGAATGGCAGAGATGCAGACATGTGTGCATGTGGCACAGAGCCATGGCTCAGTGTCTGAGTGAGCTTGAAGCCGTTTATGATTCTGAACCACAAACAAGCTCAAACTTTGGACTTTGAAGCTTCTGTTCTTCACTCTGCACTGCAGAAATGTCAGGTTTTTACAACTACAGGTAACAAAAGAAAACAAAAAGCTAATAAAACTGGACAGTAAGGACAATGAGCCACACATCAGCTGACAGACCAGAGAAACCAGTTTGTGACAGCTTGTCAGTCTGGTGGACAGGCTCTCCTCCACACTGTTCTCATTCATAAAGTGCTTACAGAGCTGAGCATTACAGCTAAAGAGAGCGAGAGTGGACAGTACGTCCTCGGCTCATCATAAACTCATTGTGGCAGAACAAAAGTTGATAGGTTTGAAGCTTCAACCTATTCGCTGGAACGTTGAGGACAATATAATTACACAGCAAGCAAGACACGAGTAGGCAAAGTTCTTCATGTTTCTCGTGCACGGGAGAGACCGGACAGATGCCGTTCCTTCACTTGACCCCAGTTGCTCTCGTCCGCTCCCCCGTAACACTGCTCCTTTATTGAGGTTACGTGAATATGCATAGGGTCATTAACATATGACGTCTACACACACACAAAGAGTACCATGTGTGTGTGTGTGTGTCTGTGTGTGTGTGTGTGTGTATGTCTGTGTGTGTGTGTGTCTGTGTCTGTGTGTGTCTGTGTGTGTGTGTGTGTGTGTGTCTGTGTGCGTGTGTGTGTGAGGTCCAGATGTGACCCTGTGAAGACTCCCCAAAGCTGGTGCCAGGAGTCCAGCAGGTCCATCTGAACAAAAGACTCTTATACTTAAACAGATATACGTGTGTTTGCTAAACCATATATCAGCAAGAGAAGATACGACCTCTCCTAGGAGGTGTGTGATCTATGCCAGAGCACTCTGTAGAGGAGTGAACGCACTCCCCTCTTCATGCTACACAGAGTTGTTACAGACCTCCTAGGATGAGACATTCTTTCAATCTACAAATGATTATACACTTCTAAGCACATATGAGTAAATATTTCTAAGCATAAATGACAATGAACAATACAAAACCTAAGAAAAGTGACTCTTATTGCTCCTGTCAACATGAACCAATGTAAAAATATTGGCCACAGCCACCCAGCCTGCTGACGTCTCGTTCTGTACTGACAGAAGATGAACGTGTTTTTAAAACGGATTTGTTGAAGCCAGCTTCACAGTTACATCAGAGGGCGGGGCTCCACTACGCACACCAGCCTTCATACGCTTTCATGTCACAGGTCATGAAGGGAGCTGCTGTAACAAACCTGGCTGATGGAGGCCAGCCTCCCAGGCTGCTCCGCTCGGTTTCTGTCAGAGATCAGCAGGGTGGACGATTCTGAGCACTTAGAGCTGGGAGAGGCACCACTCCCACTTCACCTCCATCTGAACTGAACATCCCATGGTGGGCCATGCTCATGAGATCTGAGCTTAGGAGTATTTAATCAGAGCGCCAGCCCAGGCCCTGGATCCTGACGATCCACAGGCTGTATTTAATATTTACAACTTCAAATGAAATCAGAGACGTTTCCAAACTGGAGTATAAAGATGGAGAAACAAAGAATTTAAACTGGATGTCATTTTAATGACAGTGTTGAAAGTAATGATTGGACTGGTGGTGAGGTGTGCGTGTTCCAGTAGGACAGGGGTGGGCACTCTCAGTCCACGAGGGCCGGTGTCCTGCAGGTTTTAGATCTCACCTTGGGTCAACACACCTGAATCACATGATTAGTTCGTTACCAGGCCTCTGGGGAACTGCAGGACATGTTGGCTGTGTCCCAATTCAGAGACCGCACGCTTGAAGCACGCATTTTGAGTGCGATTACGTCACCGCCACGTGACGACGGCTGTCCCAATTCGAAGTGTACTTCAAATACGCCTCGGTTTCCCCAAATATCAAGCGTGGTCCCAAGCACGCTTTGTGGTCCCATATATCCCACAATTCATAGTGCGGCGGTGGGTGTGGATATATTCTGCAAAATACAGCAGAAGGGAGCGGCGGAAGAGTGAACTGTCAGAAAGAAGTACTGAATATGACGTTGTTACGAGTTCAAAGATTGGGGATGGAGACAAGAGGAAAAACCACAATAACAACACTGGTTGAGTCAAACGATGATTTTAATGAACACACGCGTGGGAGATGGACGCCGTACGCAGACAGCCTCAGATCTCAAAAT